GATGAAGTGAATATGTCAGAGTGACTTCGTTATCAAACAGCATGCTATATGTGAACTAAAGTATTTCAAAGAAGGCAAATGGAGGATTCAAAATTAATTGAAGTGGCATTGTCCGTCCATATGAAGGCATGCAAAGCTTTAAGGGGTGAACTACTTATAAGTAGAGTCTCGAAAGTTCACCCACGATTTGGGCGTCACTCTAATTAGCCATTGTCTCGCTATTCCAAAAGGAAAGAATGTTCGAAATAGAGTTTCAGGTAGCCAAAATGTCATAGCGACAAAAAATCCAGCCACAATAAAAAGAAACACGAGTCGAATGATTTATTTTTGCGTTTGCAGCACCCTTCATGCTATTGGTCAGACCTCAGAATCAGTAAATCTGTAATGGTGACGTGCATACTCTAATTCTGAGACATTGTTGCAAAACTAAGTTTATTATTTAATCAGTGATGCGACTAGGAACCTTGAAGACGACGGATTTCCATAAGAAGTTGTGTCTAAGTCTGATAGAAGAGGAAAAACACAGCTCGATAAGTAAGCGGTAGTATAGCATAGATAATAAATCAAACACAATTCAAGTAAGAGGAAGATAACTACAATCTCTTAGGCACATTAGCATGGGAAACATACGCAATACAGAGCCGTTTGATTGGCTCGGGCAGACGGTCCTGTAACTAGTGCCAGATGTTGCCGGCAGGACAGTTGCTTTACTCCGTCGCCTAGGGCCAGGAGATGATCGTGTGTGCGCAACCTCGATTTGAGGACTCGATCTGCCGATTGTAGTGTCGGCTTCCACTGGTATTGGCCTGGACTTGGATAGACCAGCAGAGAGAAGCAAAGCTAAATCAAATGGACCCGCTCCATCATAGTTGGGCATATCTATGGTTTTATCCAAAGCGGAGCCTGAGGCGGAAGAGGAGAGGCTTGTGGTGTGATGACGACGTCTGTTAACGGCTTCGTCCGGTGTCTTCTTCCCCTTGTTTTCCGCTTCTGTATGAACGTCACTGGAGATTGAGGAAAAAGACGACAAAGAAGGCACCGCGGAGGCATAGGCTGAATTGTTGGCTGGACAAGAGAATGTGAAGCCTGAGCATGAAGACGAAGGAGACAAGAATGGAGTGTCCGAGCTGCCATCGGTCTGAGCGGCTTGCAGGAGGCCGGCAATGCAGGCGTACTCACCGTTTCCGGCTCCTGGAGACGACCCACTGGCATGTCCACAAACACTCGGCCTTGGCCCTGAGCTGGGTCCAGCGCCAGGGAGTCCTCCAGGCAAGCTGGGAAGCCCGACTGTCACGCCGGAGTTCAAGCGCATCGAACAACTCGGCGACAATTTCGAAGGTGCTCCGGCTGCCGGGGATACAGCTTCCGGCGAAAGATCAGAGACCAGATGCTGCTGCTGGTGGTGATGATGATGCTGATGGTGTTGGCTATGCTGTTGAGTGTGTAGATGTTGCTGATGCTGATGTTGAGAAGGATGCTGCTGTTGGTCGGGTTGAGATGATGAGTGTTGCTGAACTAGAATACTCGGTTGGTGGAATAAAGGGACGGACAGATGGAGAGGAATCCGCCGCAGTAGATGCTGCTGTGATGGTTGCTAAAGGAAAGTGAATTCGAATATAAAAATAAGCTTGATCTGAGATAATAATAATAATTATCATTGTAGTCATTGTTCTTTTGAGTTAGCTCTTTTAAGAAGCAAAGAAACTTTAATATAATAGACACCAAATTACAATTTCGATCCACATTTCCTTGAATATATTCAGGTTAACTAAAGCTTGAAACGATTCTCCAGTTTTTCGCCTATAAGTAGGTTTTCGAGAACACAAGCACATCACATATATGAGATGCATTCGCCCTATTTTGTTAAGGGGATAACAGAACTGGTAGTTGAAGTTTCCTACAATGACGAAAGTAGACCTGATCTTTCCATTAAATTTCGCATAGCATTGTTTTCCAAAATGTATGTTAATCCATGAAGCAGTGGACTTCAGTTTCGACCTGGCTCAGATCTTATCAACACGCTCAGCGAGTCTTAAACCCTGGTGATGCAGCGCATAATATCGATATGTTAACCAGTACGCCACTCTGCTACGAGTGCCCTTGGTTACCAGAACAAATGCAAATTGCAAGGAAGGCTAGGCATTTTCCAACACCGCATTCTATGGTGGGACAGTCGATGAAGCAAAGTTGTATTAATGTAGACTATTGCTATAGCAAATAAAACTTTGCTTCATGAACAACCCCACTACCCAATGTGCTATGGGAAAATGCTGCTGACACAGTGGCAGTCTGGCTTAGTAACTAACGCGTTAAGATTATGCGCTGCATGTTTCAAGTTCCGCTGGGTGTGTTGAGGAGAAAAAGACGAAGTT